GTCCTCACCTCTTGCGGACATGGAGGGAGACGTACTTGGCGTTGAAGTTTTCGATCATGGCACGGGACGCCTGGTCCATCAGCTTCTGCGCCAACCCCAAGCGCCGGTGGGATCTCTTCACTGCCTTTTTTTTTTTTTTGGAGGGGGGGTTTACAGCCACCGTGGGGTACCCCACAACCCACCCGGGGCACCCCCAAACTACCCAGACACCCACAGATCTCCAGGATCTTCTAACATCACCTAAAAGAACTCCCAAAACCTTCAAAGAGCAAGCCAAAATTCCTGAAGTGTCCCCCCTAAAGACCGGTAAGGAGCACCCCAAAAACCCCTCAAGTGCCCCCAAAAACCCTTAAAGAGCCGCCCTCCCAAACATTCAGACCTCTTCCAAGAGACTCCACTAAACTCCTCAAGGAGCACCCCAAAATTGCTCAGGTGCCCCCAGAGACCCTCAAAGAGCACCCCAAATGCTCAGACCCACTGCAGCAGCCCCCCCAAACCCCTCAAAGAGCCCCCACAGCCCCTCAAGGACCTCCCCAAAACCCCTCAAGTGCCCCCCAAACCCTCTGACCCACTCCAAGAGTCCCCCAAAGACTCAAAACCCTTCCAAGTGCCCTCAAATGCTCAGACCTACACCAAGAGCTCCCCAAACCTCTCAAAGAGTCCCCAAAGACCCTCAAAGAGCACCCCAAAACTCCCCAAAAGCCCCACCCCCCCTGCAAGAGCACTGCAGATGCTCAGACCACTTCAAAGAACTCCCAAACCCCCCAGAGACCCCCAAAGAGCACCCCAAATCCTTGTGCCCTCTCCGAGAGTCCCTCAGACTCTTCAAAGAGCCCCCAAAGACCCTCAAGGAGCCCCCCAAAACCCCTCAAGTAACCCCAACCCCCCAAGTGCACCCCAAATGCTCAGACCCCCCCCCAAGAGCCCCCCAAACCCCTCCAAGAGCCCTCGCGGACCACCCCGAAACCTCTCAAATGCTCCCCAAAACCCTCTGACCCATTCCAAGACCCACCCTGAACAACACCCCGCTGCCTACCAAGGATGTGATGTGCCCGTGAGGGACGTCATCAGGGTCCTCCTCCCTGCAAGATGACAGGGGTGAGAGGTGGGGGGGTGGGGGACTACTGACACCCCCAAATCCTGTCAGCAACTGCCCCTCCGCCCGCCAAATCAAAGGAGAAGGGGGGGGGGGAAGGGTCCCCCCCTAAACCACACTCACATCTTAGCCAGGACGTAACCCACGATCTTCCCGTTCTCATCTTCGGCGATGTAGGAGAGCTGAGGGGAGAGAAAGGGGGGGTGATGGGGGGGACCCAGGTGTCTGGGGGGGACCCATGCATCTGGGAGCAGGGAGTGGGGGGACACACATACCTGAGGCCAGGAGAGACCGTGGTAAAAATAATATTTCATCTGGTAATTCTCGGGCAGGCAGAGCAGGTTGCAGTGTTGCATGTTCATCAGGTCCTCAGGCTGTCAGTGGGGCGCGTCAGGGCGGTGGTGACCCACAACAGCCCCGGGGGGATGAGGGTGGGGGGGACGGGACGCCCTGAAACGGGCCTGGGCGCTGCCTGACAGCAGCGGGGGCGTCGAGGATGGGGGAGATCCCCGCCAAGGTCACTCCCAGGGATTGGGATCCCCCTCAGACACCCCCCCCCCCGGGCCCGGTATCCACCTGAGAGCCCCCCCCGGGCCCGGTTACCCACCTCAGATCCCCCTCAGGGCCCGGTATCCCCCTCAGAGCCCCCACGGGACGCCGGTTCCCCCCTCCCCGAGGCCCGGCTGACCCCTTACCGGGGCCCACATTCCCTCCCGGGATCCCGACGCCCTCCCCGACCCCTCCCCACCCAACCCCGAGACCCCGATTCCCCCTCTCCGACGTCGCCCACCCGCGCATTTCGGATGTTCATGGCTGCGGCCGCCCCGCCGGTTCCGCCGCCTTCCCCCTCCCCTCTGGCGCCGCTTCCGGCGGAAGAACTCACCCCGACCAATCAGGGCTAAGCCCGCCCACCCGTTTATCCAGCCCCCCGCTCATCCCGCCTCGCGGCGTACTGACAGCCGCCTTAGCCAATCAGTGACTGGAGCTTGGGGGGGGCAGAGAGGGGGTTAGCCTCGGCCCGCTCTACCCTTTGCCCTCAACCAATCAGGCGCGACCTCCGCGCGAGTCACGCGGACCCCAGCCAACCCCACCGCTCAACTGCTGCCAACCAATCACAGCTGCGCCCCGGGGAAGGGGCGGGGAGGGGGGAGGCCGGGTCGAGCTTTACCTTCTCCCACCCCCTTCCCTACCCAATCGCGCTTAGCGGCGACACGGATCGACAGCGCCGTGAGCCAATGGGGAGGGAGGAAAGGCGGGGCAGCGCAGAGCACAGAGAGGCGGCGTGGCTGAACACGCTTTATTGCGGGGGAAGGGGGGTCCCTACGGGGGGGTCCCCACGGAGATGGGGGGGGTCCCTGAGCCCAGGATGGGTCCCGTGGAATGTCCCCACCGTGGGGGTGTCCCAGCTCCCAGGGGTGCCCCTGATGCACATTCTGGGGGGGGGCAATCCCCCAAAACCCGGGGGTTCCCCCCCCGGTGGGGGGGGGGGGGGGGCACTCATGGAGGTGTCCCCAATCCCCGTGTCCCCCCCCACACTCACCCCAGGGAGCTTCATGGCCATCCACCCCTGGGGTTACGGGGAGCATTCCGCAGTGTGGACTCCCCACCCCCACCCCCACCACCCCAAAATTGGG